TAAGACTATGTCGTATATATAAGCTAAGGATTCTATTGAGATATTATTAATTGACGGTTGGTGCAGAACACAACACAATATTCCCCGACGCATTCATCGTTTATTGGTTTTTTTCTTGTAATATAAAGAAGAACTGTGAACAAGTCAACCAATAAAGTATCAATTTTACGACTTTTAACTTCACAGTAAGTTGAAAAAAAAACATTAATAAACACTAAATTCTATGTAATTTCGAACAATTTGAGAAGATGACGATGATATGTAGTAAAACAATAAGAAATTCACTTCTATTTTCCCACTCTATCACAGACTGATTTGTATTGAATTAAATACAGGTCAGTCTATTCTTTCTTGTATCTGTTTTCAATATTACAGTTCTACTTTTTGTTATGATCCTAATCAATCGCCTTCTTTTTTGATGTTTTCATTCGTCACAACATTTGGGTGCGGGTGTGGGTGTGGGTATAGGTCTTCCTTTCCCAAATCGACAGCCACACCCACACTCACACCTAGAACGGTATTTCTTTCCTATAACATCGTCATTATATTTATAGACATGGGGAAGGGTGTTTTTTCTTTCTTTTTTTTCTGTCGCCGATGAGATAGAGGTTCTAATACGCATCGTAATGGTGAGGATGAGTATGGCTATCACACAACTAGGTATTTCGATGTTACTTGAATCTTATCAATGTCACAAGGATTAGTATAAAGGTCTCAATATATGAAATATAAAGTTATCGTGGAGATATTAAATAAAGTAAGATGTGTTGATGATTCATGTGTACGCGACCTCTGTTGGCGATGTGCTTTGAGTATTCATGAGTCATGAGTTTTCTTTTCGAAATGATTTAGCACATTTAGTACTATGGTTCTGAATGATTTTGATGTTGTTATATTGTCGTTTGAAGACAACACTTCAAGTTGCTAAATGATCATTTTCATGATCCTGTCGTCTATGAAATAATGAAGCTTGTTTTATTTCTTTTGTTACTCCTCCTTTTTTTATCAGTTTGGTTTTTTTCCTATCTATCAATTACCTTGTTAATTTTTGTACGTTACGACTGACTGCTCACGAATCATCTATGCTTCGTCTCTTAGCATTTCTTTTCTCTTTGCTTCATATAAGTAACTGGTTCCTTCTTCGTAGCTTTTTCATTTTTCTTTATATTTAGCGTAACATATTTTTTGAGAACTTACGATATTTGTTCCTACATACAGTCAGTTCAGATCTCATATAGTGGACAGACTGATGTCTTCATATGAGTGATTAATTTCTAGTTAATGTTTACATTTTTTTAGTGTTTCTGTCTAAATATTTTGGTCTAACGTTAGAAACCAAGTATATGAAGAGATCGATGGTGATTAACAATGTCAATCTTTTGATCGTTTTTCTATTATGTAGAGTGAAGTACCAATGTTGAAATTTCATAGAAAAAAGTACTTATAAGTAACCCGTTTAAAGTAACTATTAGTATACTTATAGAAACTGAAACATTTTCAACAGGAACTAGCCAGAAACAAAAGAGAGATTATGAAGGCGTTTTGTCAGTCTCCAAAATCGGTGGTCTTGTTTGTGTGGACACCAATTGATGGATGCGTACGGTCAGATGATGTTATTGCATTCAAGGCCCTTAACAATGCCTACGAGTTTTCGACTGCAACTCCTCCTATCCGAGCATATCTCCACGTCATTGAGCTAGAAAGAGTAACATCTCTTTGTCTTAGGGTCGAACAGAAACAAGCCGATCGTGACATTCTTTCATCAAAGATTGATATCTGAATAAGAAAAGATATAACGGGTGAACATATTAGATTACGATTTTTTTCCGCCATTAGCATCGATTTCAAAAGGACAAATCTTTTCGAAAGAATAATAAAAACTAGAACCTTCCTCCGTACACTTATCAGACCGCGAGAAAACACAATATAAATAACGAATGAACGGCTTAGAGTGAAACTTGCCTCCCTAACCTCTCTGTTCAGCTATTAACCATCAAACGTTCGCTTTTTCCTTTCTTGTACCACTTCCAACGAATATATTTAGATTGCCTTCGATCAAAAATGAAAATCTACGTCTGTCAAAACACTTGTTGTGATAATACTTGTGAACTTGGTGGTCGTTCTGGTAATGATCCTCGTGGTGGTATTGGTACTCTTTTTGGTTTTGGTTATCCTTTTACTTTTGATGGTGTTGATAATGGTTTTTATTATAATGATAATCAGTGTGAAAAATGCGATCGTTCTGGTGCTGATTTTCGTCCTGCTTCTGGTAATGGTCTTGCTACTGCTGCTGCTACTGCTGGTGCTTTTGCTGCTACTTTTCTTGGTCGTCCTGGTGCTGTTGGTTGTACTGGTTTTTTTAAATGTAAGAAATGTGACAGTCTTTATTGTCATGAATGCTGTCTTCGTGATCGGTGAGACAAGCTGCCATGACCGGTTTCATCCTTGCTTAAGGGACTCATTAGGCATGTTTACAATCTATTATTACAATTAATCAAAACATCAATTTCTTTTTCTTCTTAAAATTATATTGTTATATCAAATGTTTATTTAATGAAAACAGCAAAAACAAGAATTTTATAAATATGTATAAATAAATCTATAAGGATCAGAAGACAAGGGAAAGATAGTATAAAAGAGCAAAAAAACAATACGTGATGTATTCAAATGACATCACTCGAACAAAAATATTGACTCATAATGGGAAAAAAACCAATATATGACAGAGAAAAAAAATACCCATTCAAGGTACTAATCCATACTTGGAAAAGACCAACTGAAGAAAGAGAAAAGAAATACCCAGTAATTAAGACTATGTCGTATATATAAGCTAAGGATTCTATTGAGATATTAT